GGGGGGGGGAGGGGGACTGGGGGAAGAATATGTGTGAAATGCAGAAAGCAGGTTATGGCCAAACTCTTCTCCCACCCACCAATCCCCAGGTCCCGCAAACCCCCAGGTTAGAACAAGGAAAAGGCCCTTGCAACCGTCAGTAAGATGAGAGCCCAGGTCCACCTCACAGGTCCTTCGATGAAGCTGCTCTATGCAAAGTTAACTATAGAGTAAAACAAAAATAGTGGAGGAGACAGAAAAGGGCAGACAATTGAAGGAAACCCAACCCCTCTTTCTTTTTACAAAGGGAGAATGGCTGTGTTTTATTGGCCTTGGTCAAAAGCTGTGGGGATGGATTAAAGCCATCAAAATTTAAAAAACAAAGTAGGGTTTCTAGTGCACATTCAAATCCTTGATGGGCAAAACAAGTGTGCCCTTACTAAGAGGAAAATAGAACAGGTGCCAGCTATCCAGGTATCCAATGCCCCTAATAAACTAATTGGTTCATCGGGAAACCCCCAACCTTCAGTAATCTGAAGTCAGTCTCTTGGCTGACCTGTCATTGGCTCAGAGATCACTGCCCCACTCACAGAAGGCCCCGAGGAGATTCTTTTCCAAACTTGAGGGAAAAGGAGAGATGAAGGGGAAAGAATGTAGAAGGTGGGAGGAAACATCCCCCCCTCACATAAGCTTCCCATTACTGTGCATGTGAACAAGTCTAGAAAAGTAAAGGTACCTCTGGGTGTATCCCATCAGGCAACCAGTAGTAATTAGGCAACACCCCTGTTAAACAATATGCTAGAGAGCACTGAGATGGAAAGTAAGGCAAAAATCACAACCAGGCTATCCTGATGAAAGTCTGGCTCTAAGAGAAATAAAAGTTAATGAGTCAGACCAAAAACACAGTCAAGGAAAACAAAAATAGGTAAATGGGTCTACATCAAACTTGAAAACTGAGCAACAAAAGAATAGACTAAAAAGTCAAGAATGGAGAGAAAATATTTGTAAACCTTATATCTGATAAGGGGTTAATATCCAGAATATATAAAGAACTCCTACAACCCAATAACAAAACAATAAATAACCCAATTTAAAAATAGGCAAAGGAGTTGAATAGACATTTATCCATAGAAGATATAGATAGCCAAGAAGCATGTGAAATGATGTTCAATATCACTGATCATCAGGGAAATGCAAATCAAAACCACAATGAGATATCAGCTCACACCTGTCAGAGTAGTCATTGTTAAGAAATGAAACAAAACAGAAACAAAATGTTTTGGTGATGATGTGGAAAAATTGGAACACTTGTACACTGTTGATGGGAATGTAAAATGATGCAGCCACTATGGAAAAAAGTCAGGAGTCTGGAGTTTCCTCAAAAAAATTAAAAATAGAACTAACATAGGATTCAGTAATCTCAATTCTGGAAATATATTTGAAAGAATTGAAAGCAGGCTCTTAAAGAGATATTTGCACCCCCATGTCCATTGCAACATTATTCACAATAGCCAAGAGTTGGAAGCAACTTAAATGTCCACTGACAAATGAGTGGATAAAGAAAATGTGGCCTCAGCCTTAAAAAAGTCGGTCCTGCCATATGCTATGACATGGATGAAGCTTGAGGATAATATACTAAGTGAAATAAGCCAGTCACAGAAGAATAAACACTGCATGATCTCACTTATAGGACATATTTAAAGTAGTCTAACTCATAAAAAACAGAATGTAGAATGGTGTTTGCCAGGAGCTAGGGGGAGGGGAGGCAGGGACTTGTTTTCTGTGGGTGTAGAGTTTCAGTTATGCAGGATTGAGTTGGGGGGTGGGCAGTCCTGGAGAATCTGTTGCACAACAATGTGCATGTGGTCGACAATATTGCACTGTACACTTTAAATTGTTGGGAAGGTGAGTTTTATGTTATGTGATTTTTGCAAAAATAAATTTTTTTTAAATGTTAATGAGGCAGAAGTAAGTTGATCCTAGCTAACAGAAAAGTGGATAAATAAGAATTATACATATTATATATACATATTATAAATATGCATTATATATACATGTACATATCAGATACTGTTAAGTGAAAAAAGTAAGCTGTGTGTGCTTTGCTACTACTTTGTAAAAAAAAAAGGGAGAATGGTATATGTCCATTTATGCTTCTATATACATAGACTCTTCAGTAAAGATACCCAAGAAATTGATTACACTGGCTGCCTGGGGTTCAAGCATAGAAAAGAAAAGTATTTAACATTGTACATGTCCTTTCTTATTGTTAGAATTTTTTATAATGTCTGTGTATTACCTTTTCAAAAACAATTTTGAAAGAAGGAAGAACATAGAAACAAGGTAGAATAGATGTTACCAGGGACTGAAAGGAGGACAGAATGGGGACTTAATTGTTTAACGGATACAGAATTTCTATTTGGAATGATTTAAAAGTTCTGGAAATAAAGGGAATGGTCACACAACATTGTGAATGTACTTAATGCCACTGAACTGTACACTCAAAAATGGCTAAAATGGTAAATTTTAGGGTAGATCTCATCCCTATCCATGGTTTAGCTTTCCATGGTTTCAGTTACCCAAGGTTAATCACAGTCTAAAAATATTAAATGGAAAATTCCACCTCACTTCATCTCATGACTTAAGAATTGTATCTTCTCACATCATCACAAGAAAAAGGTTAAGTACAATACATTAAGGCATTTTGAGAGAGAGGCCACATTCACATAACTTTTATTACAGTATATTGTTATAATTGTTCTATTTTATTACTGGTTTTTGTTGTTAATCTCTTACTCTGCTTAATTTAAAAATTAAGCTTTATCATAGGTAGGTGTGTATAGGAAAAAAACACAGTATATATAGGATTCAGTACCGTCTGCAGTTTCAGGCATATATGGAACATATCTTCTATAGATAAGGGGAGGCTACTGTATGTACAGTTTCTACAATAAAACAAATTTTAAGGAAATAGAATGAGGAGGTTTACAAAACTGGTAGAGATTTTTGTTTTTGTGTAAGATGTTAGATATATGTATATGCCGGTAAATGCTTAGAAAAGAACCTGGGGGAGCAGGCACACTGTAAATAGTTTGAGCCTGGAATTTTGGTGGGTGTTGAGGGGGATCTTTCAGGTTTGATCCTATACATTTTATAATTGTTTGAATATTCTACAGTGAGACTTTCTTTTGTAGAAAAAGTTATGTCTCAAAAACCCCCACAAAGTTGAGTCAATTGATCCCTGAGAATTCTTTAAGCTCATTTGATATGAGCTGGAGAATTTTCTAAACTATAAAGAAGTGACCACTTTCATCACAGACACACCCAAACCAAGGTAGCTAGCTCTTGGCAGAACTGGCACTTAGAGATTTTCTTTTAATGGCATTTATTGTCCTTTAAAAACTACCTATTTTTGTTTGTTTGTTTTCAGTTTTTTAGCAGTGTCCCCTCCACCTGAGTTGCCAGTGCTGTCTTCTCTATCTACACTCACTCCCTAGGTGACCTCCTCCAGTCCCACGATTTTAAGTACAATTCCTATTTTATCTTTTTAAACAAGTCCCTGGCTTACCAGAGCACTACAGCATGCTGTACACCACCTTCCTTCCCCAGGCAGCAACCCATATTCTGGACCTTTCCTTTCCCTCCTCAAAACTTAACTGCTTCTGGGTCCTTTTCACAAAGGACTTTACTGATTAAGGATTAGTTAATTTGAGCTTAATGTTAATAGCTTTGTTTTTCTCTATATTAGTAGATAATGTTTTAATTTTACAGAGGCCTTCAATATATTAACTGGTAGGAATGAATAATTGTGTGGGTGGGGATGGGGGGTGGCAAGATTTTTATAATCACATCACATAAGCAGCTGCTTTGAACTCATCCTCACTTTCAGTGGTTTTATGCAAATTATTGCTGTAAATGTATGAAAGTAAATGTTTTGTATCTGGCAGGAGATGCAAAATGGGCCTGGAGTCCATGATGAAATTATTTGTTTGTAATT